CACCCTTAACTATTCTTTCCATAATTCTAGATACTATGGGTGTAATATTGGTTGGCCTATAGTTGTTGACTTCAGTTTTCGATCCGCATTTGTGTTTGGTTATTGTAAATGTGGTTTTCCATTTATCTGGATAGGTTTGGCTTCCTAGGGACATTTTAAAGATCTTAAGTAATAAAAAGGAAATGTCAGCTTAAAGAGTATTTCGAAGGTCCTCAAACGAGAGTTCATGAAGAGTTATTGAAAAGAAACATCGACTAGCACTTCAACACACCACATGCCAACCACAGAGGGAGGCTATGGGAAAGACTTATAGGAATTATTAAGCGTATTTCAAGCTCCATAATGAAAAACAAAAGTGTGAATGACGAAACGTTGGAGACGTTTTTATGTGGAGCTGAACGGATAGTAAATGACCGGCCGCTATTGCCTGTGAGGGACGACATCAAGGATTTCGATATGTTGACTTTAAATAAATTATTGTTATTGCAAGGTAACCCTGGCATAGGGGACTTGAGTGCGGAACAAATACATACGATTAAAAGATGGAAAAAAACCAGGTACATGAAAGATATATTTTGGAAAAGATGGTTAAAAAAGTATGTCATAACACTGCAAACAAGAGACAAGTGGACGAAGTTGTGCAGGACCTTAAAGGTCGGTGATATAGTTTTAGTAGCAGATAAATGTGCCACAGGTAGATGGCCTTCGGGAGTGTTAGAAAGGGTAGTGGTGATGGGTTGGTGAGGACGGTTTAGGTAAGAATAAGTTGTGGCATATTGGTGCGAGATATAAGAAACTGTGTCTGCCGGAAGGTGCTGAGAGTCAAGAGTCAGAGGATGGACCACTTGAAGATTTTCTAACTTAGAATCGTCAGCCTGAGAGGGTTTGCAGGCGTTCTGCTGTAAGTACTGCGATTCTTCAAAGGAATTACACCATGATATGGTCTGCGAGGTTATGCGTTCTGTTTGTATATATGCATGGTGTGTCGCATCAGTTAGTGTTTTTTGGATTCACTGTGTTTACTTGTTGTTTTCGTACTTTGTTTATTGCATAACTTAGTTAAAATTTTCGTCGTGCTTACTTCTGAAGTCATTTCGAGTCTTCTACACCTGTGAATGAAATGATTGATGTTACAGACACCAGATAGGCCTAATGATGAGAATGACATGCGCACATAGACAAGGACCAGCTGTGGAATCATTGATTGGGAATGAATGTGGTCCCACACGCCGGGGAGCGAGAAGGTAGATGACTGAGGCTTGCATACGTAACCATTACTATGACTGAGGCAGAATGAGTGACAAGTGATGGCAGTGGTAATTGGTACTGAATAGATGGGGGATTTGTGAAGAGTACCATGAGGTGCTGCTATGGTCATGTTGGTTTCTGCAACAGTCATTCTGGCGAGTGGCGACTGTATTGAAAGATGTCAAGAGGGTGTCTTTAACTGGAAGGCGCAGGTCGTCGTCAACGAGTGAGAGTGTGCTGTGGGTATGCCTGTAGTGTGTTGGCTTCGCTGTTTGTTTTCCAATTCAGCTTTTGCCTTGTGGCCCAGGTTCTCCCACTGACATCCAAGTCAACGTGTATTGGTAGTGGTGGAAAAAAGGGATGGATCCCCTTTTTGCCTGGGAGTGTCAGTGTAGTTGAAGAATGAACGATCAATTCATGGTTATTTACTCAAAACCAACTCCATATTTTGGCGGGAGTCACCGATACTACAATCATCGCTCCATCGTACACTGTTCTTTAGAAGATGGAGAAATATTATCAGAAGTATTATTGTGATTAATTCTTATGATTTATTCTTAGATTTTGTGTATAATAACCTCATTGTTGGTTCCATATTGGTGCAAGAATAAAGGATTCTCGAGTCACCAATCTGTGTTCTCTTTTCGCGTTGGTTATTGCACATTGTTGCTGAAGGTTTTCTATGGACAGCGTTAAGTCCAGTGTAGTTAAACTTGGACAATGACACCTGCCAACCATGAGCTATACGCTTTAAGAGATCCAAGCAGTTGGTGTCTCACTGGGTTGCGAATGGACAAAACATTCAGTTCAGTCTTCAAAATACAACTTAATGGAACTGTGGGCATTACTGCTGCAAGCCATAGCGATAGCACTATAGTCTGCCAATAGAAGATTAAATGGGTACACTCCAAACTAACCACTCAGGGGTGCTAGCAAAGCTGCAAAGGCTCACCCATATAAATACCTGAGGTCATGATGACTTCCAACTACTGGTTCTGAAACCATGTACTGAAGCTGTCTGTGGGTCCCTGTGTGATCTGTTCCAACACTTTATGGATTCAGAGAAAGTGCCGAGGGAGCGGAAGAAGGCATCCTTGTTTCTATCTTCAAGAGTGGGATGGGCAAAACTCGCCGAGCTACAGACCAATGGGGGTACTTTCAGTAGTATCCAAGCTACTAGAAGGTTTGACTGGTGATCGGATCGGGCAACGCCTAGACAGGCATAATCCATGAAGCATCACGTGTTTTGAGGAAAGGTAGGTTCAGCTCTAAAAACCTATTATCAGCTCGGAATGAATGGACACCATGCCAGGACATGGATGTTCCAGTTTATGCGACTTGGCTTAGCGGAGGTTTCTGACAAAGTTCAGCACGACCTTCATCATGAACTGAGTCAGCTGGGTATTGGCCTACGCCTTCTTTCATGACAAAAAAATTACCTATACAGGAGAGAATTATGCGCCAAGGTCAGTCATGTCCGATCACTCTGGCACAATTCGGCATTGCGAGTACCTCAGGACTGTATCTCATGGCCCTTAATGTTTTTAATTTCTATCAACGACCGTCCATGAGGACTGAACTATCAGGCACTTAATCGCTCTGAAGACGTGAAGAGCTGGAGGACAATAAGATTCCCAGAAGACTCAGACAGACTGTAGGCAGAACTGAAATTGCCCGAAGACCAAGCATTTACTGACGGTATGATTTTCAAACTGAGAAAATGTAAAGTACCGTTACTAAGTATTCTTAGAGCTTAGAGTAACTTCGGGGCGTGACTTAGGCCCAGTTCTAACCGGGAATGGAAATAAAAGTAAATGCCACGGGTGATGTAACGAGGGCATTTACGGTTATGTACTCTAGGTGTGAACAGCTGAGTGCGCTCACTCCTGAGCTTTTTCTGAGGTTTATAATAGTAACGCAGCTTTATTTCAAACAATATGTGAACTCATAGTACAGAAATTTTCAGCGCATTCAGTTCCAAAATGTTTTTTTTTCATACTGAATTCAAATGCAAAGTAACGATCAGGAGTATATCATGTGATGTGGTGTTATTGCGAATGATGAGAGAACCAGTTGCATGCATCTTGTGTCTACTTTAAGAATCGTGTGGGGTTTTGTCTAAGACTAGTTAAATATTTGCTCATGTAATGATCATCCGCCACAAACACACAACTGAAACAACAAGAAATGCAGAGGGGTTTAATTATTTTGACGGATGGAAGTTTTAGTAGCTCAGTGACTTCAACGGGCAGCCTAAGACTAAACAAAATATACGTAAGATCACACCTTGAACTAAACAATATCTTTGCTCTCCTGTGACTTAGAAGGGCGACTGAAACGGTTGTGAGTCTCCGAAACAAACCATATGATCAAAGGCTGGAGAAATTTAGCCTTTTCACAAACAGCTACCATTGGCTTGAGAATTACCTAATTACTGCCCTCAAGATTGTAAATCACCAGGATCACTCAAACAAAGGTTGCCCAACGGGGGGAGACACTATACAAAAGTTTACCGAGGGGCAGCAACTTTTACATGACAACCAAGAGGTGAGCAAGAACAATTCAGTTTGGTTTACACTGACTGAAGGCTGATCACGAATATTTCGTCATATTTTTTGAGCATTTAGAGGCTGATCGTGTTGACATTCACGGATAGTACGAAGTATACTAACGCAAGATATAATGCTCACAACTTCCATAGTATTCGTTCGGCGTAGACCAAAGGCAAAGTATAACACCCAAATGGATCGTCCAAATTACGAAGTATATTTCAAGACCAAATCGTAGTGCAAGATGGCTATTTAACTAGTTAGATATCGTACACGACAGAATGAACGTAAGATGACGGCGTGCCAAATGGCGTGGATGCTTGACCGGAAGCCTTTGTTGTGTCGCTCTACTAGATAAAACTAGCGTGCACGTATATCCTAGTACTTCTCTGCGTTTATTATTTTATCCAAACGTTGTGATTACTCGACATCCACAACGCAAATCAAAAGGCACTTGAGAAGGAGTACGAACGTGTATTATCGCAGTTGACAAAATTGAAAGTTTGAGCGAGTACAATGGATCAATTGTTAACACGCAATCGTTAGAATGATAAGCAAATCAAAGTCCAATTACATAGTAAACGTATACTACGACGGTGAATAATAAAGCGGGGCACTTCACCTACAGCTAAACAAGTCGACCTAAACAGTAATGGTCAGCATCCGATGTTCAGTGATGAATACTGTGGCTAATAATTCTGGGGAATTTCCTACCGCAACAAGTATAATAAAAATGTGATAGCGAAACGTCAACAAAGATACGAAGTATCTAGGAGGAAGACAGCGAAAGGTGCGAATGAGTAAGAATGACATTTAATAAATTTGATCACTTAATTTGCAAAGTGTTATCAAGACTACCTATTTCTGCCTGTGCTTATCAGTCAGCATGTCCGAAGCAACGAAGCAGCTGTTTCACACATTACATCAAATACATACGAATAGGAATGCTCTTCACAACTTATTTTCTACCTAAAAATAGCACTAAATTTTGATTAGTTATTCTGAAAATGATGTTTTATTGATATAAGTATAAAACTTGGGCACTGTAGTAGATGTTTGACGGTTCGTATCCATACCTCCTCACTGACAAATGTAGATTGAAGACTTAAGAAGAAATAGGCAGCATTTGATTTTTTCAAACTCATCACGACAGCACTTAAAATCTGTGCTCATAGTGATTAGAAGGTTCTTGTGTTTAACCACACCAAAGAAAATCCTCAAACGATGGCGTGTATTTAAATCATATTTTGTAAAGGTAAGTGTTTTCAAAAGTGTGTGGAGCTGAAGAAATTTTGATCGAATGTTAATTAACCTACGATATGAGAATAAAATGATTTTTCGAAATTTAGTGGAACTGTTTTAAAAATGATGCTGTACACCCGACTGATTCACAAGGTTATTGTGTTCCCAATCTTGAAATGAGTGTTTCAGTTATTCCAAACGAACTCTTTCAGTTAAACAACTAAAATTAGGTTCAGTTATATGCTAGGCATAAAGTACACTTAAAAAATATTTTTGTTGTATTAATAATCTAAATAATTCTAAAATAAAACCACAAACACGTTTGTGGAAGCTGTAATGCTGAATGAAAATACCTTCGTTAGATACTCCATGAATAATTCAGCATGGCTAACGTTTGAAAAATTTTCACGGGATAATCAATTTGCTTGCATAACCGTAACTCAGCTGAGTTATGCATTTACTTGAAGTTTATGTATTATTCATTCAATAACCCTAAGTTTATGACACTTGTCATATTTATCTAAACAGACATCGTTTAATGCTTAAAGTATTATCGTTGCAGTTTAAAAGGATCTCTGATAGGGTGAGTACTTCTGAGAACTAGCTTTCCTGTTGAGTTTACACAAAAGACTTACTGGACTACTGAAGATTATGATTCCACAATATCACAAAAAAGTACTTCAGTGGGTTAGTGATATGAAGTCGCCGTATTTGTGTCATTTTGTGAGATTTAAATGCATCATGCATTGTCGATTTCTGGTTTATGTTTTCTTTTTTGGATTTGTATACTAGAAAATTGTGGCTGTTTTGGTTTTGCACGCTGTCGGAGGTAATACATAAAGTAGAATAAAAAGTCATGCTGAATTTACAATCAATAATCCACATGTTTTTGTTACAAATGTTTGTGGTATTTTATCTATATGTAGGTAATATTAGGTATGCCCCACAAAACAATAGACTTTCGGCTTTGAAAACCAGCAATAATGTGTAGTTGTGTTGTCCTACTATCTACACAAAAGAAGTTCTCAATTGTGTTTGCATAAGGAAGTATATCAAACCGTTCTGAAAACATCAGTAGAAAGTTTTTTAAAGCTTCCGTCAAGCACTACTCACTGGAGACATTTTTTACCAATAAATCCATGCTAATTATCTCTTTACCGATAAACTTTTCTGCATCCTATAAAAAATTCGTTTAATGTCGTTAGCTGAAATTGAAGTGTGTTTAGTTTAATGGCACTTCAGCAGCAAATTAGCCTTACTTCTGCTTGATTTCTGTCGACAAAAAGAAACTCCAGAGTGCCAAACTTTATATGCCTTAAGGACTAATTTTTTGTAGGCATTGTGTTACGTCCCATGTAAACTGTAGAACGTCAGTGGATACTTAGTTGTTTAAATGTCGCTGACAAATATCTTGGGCGCACATAGTCACAGACAGATTCATGAACAAATTCCGTACAGGCTGTTTTCATTTCAATAAGTAATGATGAATTTAGTTAACCAGACGACTGTCTAGATAGAAAGTGGCCCTAATATTTTGTGAATATACCAGTGAAATTTGCAATAACATAGTGTCACTCAAAATTAAAATAAAAACCACTTGTAATGCTCAAAATTTTCGCGGGTATTTAGACACCTACCATTTCTACGATGCTGCAAATACCACTAGCATAGTGCAATATTGTATGTTACTTCAAAAGTTTATTGTCATATATCGACATGTTCAATAACAAAACACATTGATAAAGGTTATGTGAGAAACCAGTAGCAAGCAAGCTAACTGGTTGAAGTGCTTATTTTTGAACCTAATTATTTTGGTGAAACTGCTTCTCCTGGTAGGCATTAGTATAAATATTTCTTAAAAATAGTATTTACCTCGAGAAACTAGCGGGCCACGACATGTAACTCAACCTGTTTTGTGTAGTAATGTATTAAACTGTGGAGAGGAGATAAACGGCAGATAGTTATAGTGTCTTTTCAATTTAGATTATCGCAAAAATCCTAATCAGCCAAATCGATTGATATGTTATGATTTATTGGTTAAAGACGCACTGTATAAACTTCCAACTTAATGACACCCAGCACACTAGTGGCATAATGGAAAGGAATAAGAACTGTTGTCAAGCCCTTTGGTATGTACGAAAATAATTAAGTAATACTCTAGGATTACAGACGAATTTTATAAATTGAACAGAGGTGTAGAATCAACAATACACTTTTGTAAGGGCCAAATAGTTTAGTTGATACCTTGTGTTCTAAGCTTCTCCGTCCAAGGGAACCCACAATATTCGCCATCAAGAGATCTAATGGACTGCCTATCGCAACTCCATCAGTCTGGAGGTTCAAGACGTCGTTGAATTAGAACTGCATATTCTTAGTGCACATAAGTAGGTGTTTAAATTCTCGTTCATAAAAAGGAAACAAGTCGGAATGTCAACATACAAATTTTTGTAGTTTGCTTCAGTGGGATATTTGTGGATACTGAGGTCATATCAGGTGATACCATGATTTTTTTGACGACTTTTAGATTTACTAACATCTAAGTGAATTCAAAGTTGTCTTTCAAATGATGTATTCTCAGCTTTTCACGAATCAGTCGTAGCACTTTAACTAACAGTCTGGCGAGTTTTTACGGTAGGGCGAATTATGGGTTTTACTGGAAGAATAGGATTATGTATCTTGGGTGAATCACACATGTACAGTAGGAGCGAACTTCGTGGTCTAAAATCATTATAGGTTGAATTGTCTATTCATTTATTCTTTAGAAGCTCTTCCAGTTTCTTGGTAATTCGCTTCTTTGTGGACTCATATCTTTATTTGTACTGTTCAATCCAAATCTTGATGAGTCTTCTAAAATTAACTTGACTTTAGGTATGTAGTCATCCTTATTCATTATAACCACTTCAGAACCTTTTTCTTGTTGTAATATCCTAATATTCTCATTATTTTAGTTTTTTTTTAAAGTCTTTTTTATCTCTACTTTTGTGTTTTACATCGATTTTAACAAATTGAACTGCTGCACTTCTATGCAAAGTACACTATCTTGTAACTTAGTCAGTCATTCAGAATTTCCCAAAAAATCTTATAAAAACTTTACTTACATCATACCTCATTCCTAAAAATTATACACGGACAAACAGTCTATCTATGAAACGCATTAATTTCTGATTGATTCAAGTAACATACACAGGTTTGCTTTTTGCATAAAATTGGTTGTCCTTTTTCTAAGTCTGTGAATTGTCATTTTAAAGACTGTTCCGTTTAACTTACACCACCACTGTGCGTCGGTGGCACAGTGGTTAGGACTCTCGCCGACCATGAACATGGTCCGGGGTTCGATCCCTTGCCTACGCACACCCGATATCTATGGTCGGCCTGCAAAATTTGGGCTACCGATATCACATGCTGAAAATTCCATACCTGTACCAAAAAATACGGTGTGGAATCAAGCTGCAATCAGAAATAAAGAAAAGTAGACATTTTTCTAATGGTTTGAAGAATGATAATGCTGATGCAGGCTTCTTTTCTAAAACAGTGTTTGCATAAATATCAGTTCGGTTTAAGTACTTTTTAAACTATTTTACCTTCTATGAAGAAGAAGATGATTAATCTGTCATTTATATTAATATTTTAGATGTCAAAAGATGATGACAACACCGATACCGAATTACTACATTCAAAGTATTCAGTAACACGTGAAGTATACACTGTGAACAAGTTTTCAGAAGAGTATCATCGATCAACTGAAGTGCATAAACCATTTTCTCTCTCTGCAATCCTAAGAAGTTGTACATGTTCAAGATTTCTTAGTGTTTTATCCTCTATTTTTCCATTTTATTCTGTATTGGCTTCATTTTATACATTCCAATCATTTCTATCAGATGTAGTTGCTGGGATAACAATGTCAATAGTTCATGTACCACAAGGTAGGCTTGTTGTTATTTGCTGTGAAATAGAATCTTTTTTTGGAACAGGTATGGCATATGGACTTTTAGCTGGAGCTAAACCTATAAATGGATTGTATACCTCATTTTTTCCCGCATTGGTATATTTTTTCTTTAGTACATCACGTCATGTATCAGTAGGTAAGTTTGTTAATTTTTTTCATTTCTATGAGTACCGTTTGATAGAATGTAGAATTATATATTAAAGCTTAATTCTTATTACATATACGAGCAGTCCTCTATGTAGCTATTGTGAAGGGTTTCACTTTCATTACTTAACAGGTCTATTGCTTTGATGTCACATAGAGACTAATGCGTATGTTAATTTTCAGTGGTATTCATGCGAGGCAACATACAGCAGTTATAATCACTGTGAAGTTGCTTGATTAATTTTCAGAGATGTTTGTGTATTGGGAGCTGTAGCAGCTTTTCATGACAATGAAGTAGTTTATTATGAAGAGCTATTTGGCAATTGTGGTGGACTGGATTATGTGTCAGACTGTGCATTTGGAGTGAGAAGACAAGAATACATTGGACCAATAAGAACAACCTAGAAGATCTGGATTTCACAGATGATTTATGTTTATTGTCACACAAACTCGAAGACATGCAGGTGAAAACCAACAAACTGGCCGAAGAAGCGGTGAAGACAGGCCTCCAGATGATGAAGGTAACTAACCAACCGACAGCAACGACAAACAGAAACAATCACTATCAGCAGGAGGAATTCACAATAGGTTACTTCCTTCACTTATCTAGGAAGCACAGTTCCAACCACAGGAATTCGGAATAGATGAAGATGTCTAAGCCAACCAGAATTGGAAAGGTAAGATATGCCTTCATGAACCTGAAACCAGTTTGGAAGTCCTCTGCACTCAACGTAAAGAACAAGATTTAGATTTTCAACATAAAGGTGAAGTCAGTTCTTCTATGTGGGCCAGAAATTTGGCGTGTCACGAAAAGGAATTCCAACAAGTCACAGGCCTTTATCAACAGTTGCTGCCTTCGCCATCTCCATACTGAAGATCAAATGGCCGGGTGGCCAATAAGAATTAGCGAGAAAAAACTGGTGACAAACCAACCAGGAGCCGACTGCCCAACAAACATGTAGGAGAAAATAGATGGGGAATACGATGACGAAACCGCTGAATGACATTGCGTGCCAGGCCATTGCTCAGGTGGAACCCGAATGGGGAAAAATGAGTGGGTCGTTTTTAGGTGACACGGAGAAGATTGTGCGAGGAGGAGATGAGACTTTATGGGTAGTCTCAGAAAATGGAAGAAAGTGGAGATGTGTTGGTGAAGCCGTATGTTCCACTTGGAACTGAAGAGAACAATAATAATAACAATATATTGCAAGATGGTATGAATAGTTGGGAACCACTTATGTCAATTCGTAGTGTTTGATAACGGAATGTTTGTTAGCAACTTGACATGCATGCCATTTGCACAGATCTTCGGTGTTGTGCTACTTCTGCTCTTCGTATTGCACTTTTCCGTCTTCTCTTCGTGTCTTCCATGTTTTACCGCACTACACTGGTTCATTTTCTTCCTTTGACGTCAAATCTGTCTCCGTTACTTGATATATTTTTTTACGTTTCTTTATGCACTACTGAAAATGTATTGTCAGGAACATACGCCACATGTTAACTAAGTGGAAATGGTTTAGATAGTGAAAGAGCTTATCAGTTATCCGCTAGGGCAGACTCAGCTGAAAACACTGAATCAGTTCAAAACCGTCCAGCTTCTGAGTAGCTGGATTGGTTATGCGCAAAGTCAAACTGTTCGTTTGTAAATTATATAGTTTGAAGTGAGATATTATCACGTTTTTCCTCAGGAACCCAAAATGTTTATTTCACAATATACATGATCTCCTTTATACCACTTAATATCAGTCAATAAGGTCGACTAATAGCGGTATAGTTGGAGATAATTGGGCTGACTGGGCTGAGAGTAACTTGGTACACCGTTCATAACATTGGCTGCAAACAAGGAAAATGAATATTGAAAAAGAGAAGACGTTCAACGAAAAGACTCTTTTCGTCGAATTCATCCACATAGCTGTTCAATCGCATTTATATATAAATATTTGTGTGTGTGTGTAGATGAAGTTTGTCAAGTTTAGACAATTAATCGGGTAGTACAAGAATGATCTAATATAGAAACAAGGTTAATTAGACAGCTTGTAAAAAATTATATTTGTAAAATCTCAGCGAGATTGAAATGAGTAATTCCAACGTTTCGTTCAGCACACACATACACACTCTGCTTAAAGTGTTTAACAAAGGTAGACCAATATTTGTAAGTCCGAGGTCAAATTTTGATCACAGGTCATAAAATTTTGTTTATTATACTTGTTGAATGACTCATGATTGGACAAAATTTTTAAAAACAAGTGATGTTCCTTTTATATATAAACCTCTGTTATGTTAATTTCGATTAATTTCCCTGAAGAAGTTCGGACCAGATTGCCGAACGAAACGTTGGAATTACTCATTTCAATCTCGCTGAGACTTTACAAATATAATTTTTTTACAAATGTCTACTTCTCACTCGGCGCCCAAATATTTTAGAACTATTCTGTCGAATCTTGATGAGAGTTCATTTGAATTAATTAGACAGCAACTGAAGTAAAATTGAGTTAGTAAGTTGGATCACATAATATAATTGACTTAAACGTTTCATCTTAGGTTAAGATGGCAACAGAGGTAGTTACAGGTAGAGACTAAGTAGAGGTTGGGGTAGGGAATAATGCCATTTGAATTAGGACTAAAGTTGAGCAAATAAGTTGGATGACGTAACATAAATGACTCGAAATTGGGCGTTGGTCAAGTCAGTAACAGTAATAATGAGGGAATGACTTGACCAACGCTCAATTTCTAGTTATTTATATTACGTCATCCAACTTATTTGCTCAACTTTAGTCCTAATTCAAGTGGCATTATTCCCTACCCCAACCTCTACTTAGTCTCTACCTGTAACTACCTCTGTTGCCATCTTAACCTAAGATGAAACGTTTAAGTCAATTATATTATGTGATCCGAATTACTAACTCAATTTTACTTTAGTTGCTGTCGAATTAACCTTGTTTCTATATTAGATCATTCTTGTATTACCTGGTTAATTATCTAAACTTGACAAACCTCATCTACACACACACACACACAAATAATTATATATAAATGCGATTGTGCAGCTGTGTGAATGAATTCGCCGAAAAGAGTCTCTTCACTGAACGTCTTCTCTTTTTCATATGACTCAATGGGGATTTTTAAGCTACTTAAAATGACTATTCACTGTTACAACCATCACTACTGTTTGATGTTAGTTGTTTCCAACTACTCCATCGATAGTGTACATAACCTTGGTACGTTGATTGTGATTTATGATATAATACAGGTCACATATTTGGTTTCCAAAGTAAGCACTAGTGAACTGTGAACTGAGTATCGTCGCGTCAATGGATCCTTGGTAGATTCCTTGCCAACTAGGCATGCGGTCGGGGTTGGATTTCCGGCTGACGCACTTCTAAACCTTGCGTAGCCGGTGATAAGCCTAGTTTGAACCTGTTAGCAACACCACCACTGGTGAAACTTCAAAACTAAAACTAGAAGCCATATACTCCACTCTGAATACAAAGGGATGGAAAAAGCGTACATATGCGTCAGTAATTTGCAATTAAAGGAATCTGAGAATTATACTTTTTACAGTGCTGATAGATAAGTTAGTCGGTTATACAGTGGAAAATTAAAGACAAGTGACTTTCTAGACAGGGAACTGTCCGTTGAATTGTAAGATCGTCATTTAGAATAAAGACTGGTAAAAGATAACCCTAAACTAGTATTTAAATTTACTAACTGTAGTGTGTTATACATAGAATAAAGAGAAGAATTGAAATTCAACCATCTGTCATTCACTGTAAAGTAGTTTATTCTATTTATCATTATTATTCATTTGTGTTCCGGGTGGAAGATAGGGCTTCAAGCTTCAGCTTTGAAGTTTCAGGAGTAGTGGTGTTTATTTTTTACCGGGTTGGCGTGGGGGGGGGTTACTGGATTCACGTCCAACCTTTCATGTTTACTGAGTTTACTATCGGCTAAGCGAAGCTTAGGAGTGTGTCGGCCGAGAGTCGAACCTCGGAGCATATGCGTGGTTGGGGCGAGTATTCTACCATTGAACCAACGACGCTATAAATTAACACGATTAAACGGATGGCTATTTACTACTGAAAACTATTTAAGTAGTTTACTTGACTGAGTTTGATTGAACTTTTTTCTTAATGAAAATGGCTATCCCTCATTTCGCTGCTGTTTCTTTGATAAACTGTGCAAATTAAAAATCTATTTCAGTATTTAGAAGAGGTAAATTCAAAATGAAGACTGATGTTGATTACTTCATGTTAACTAACGATTTTTAAAATCATCTAAGTCTTCTAACTATTTATTTATTTATTTATTTAAACGCATTAAAACTTGGTACAATATGGCACCAAGAAGGATGCGCCACACAATAATAATAAAACAACATAGATGAAAAAAAGGAAGGCAGGAAAAGAAAAAATATATATAAGTAGAGAACGAATAATGAACTTCATCTGGAAGGAAAACACTCATTCTTAACAGGTTCAAACAGTGTTCGTTAACTATCATCGGGAATGGAAGAAAGAAGGAAATCGCAACACATTCGCCATTGATTACGATTCTTGGCCATATCCGATAACGTTTCGAGCCATCGATTTGAGCTATCTCTCAGACCACAACCAGGGAGTCGTGACACACCAACCGATGCTAATCTAGCACAAATATCCTTCATCTCACGACGCCACGTCATGGGCTGACCACCTCTCCGCCTTTTCCAACCCGTCCCAGGGCTAGCGAACAGAGACCTGTACGGAAGCCTCTGGAGTGACATTCGCAGCACATGTCCAAGCCACCGGAGCCGGTGTTTCCAGATGACGACATTCAATGAATGGTGATCTCCACTGTGTTCAAACACACGCCGCCGAATCTCAGAATTACTCACGCGATGATGCCATCGAACCCAAGCAATCCTGCGGAGACAGCGGTGATCGAACACGCAGAGTCGCCGCACATCCTCAGCTCGGAGAGGCCAGGTTTCACAGGCGTAGAGCAGCGCAGCCC